AGTCGAGAAATATGCAACATCTGCGGATTTTTTTGAGGAAATTCTCATTGATTCCTGCGCTGAATTCGTACAATTAGTGAGAAAACTTCTGAATTCAGCCGATAAAAGCGAAGACCTTACGTTAATCGATCGACCGCGGGTATAATGACCAACTCCATATATCCGCTTGCCAAATGTGCGCTTTGCATCCACACCGTTCGGTCCTCCGTATTTCGCACGGCGACATTCGTCAGCGACAACAAAGACACTCCCTTATTGTCGTCCACCTCAGCCCACCCCTCCTCCCCTGCTTCCACGATAGGGGACGGATCGAGCATATTCCGACCGTTCAGCTGCGTACAGTATTTAGTAGTGAGCTTATGCAAGACACTGCATGCCAAACACGACGTTCCACAAGGCCCCACATTCTGCAGCCATCGCAGCATCCTAGATTCAGAGCTAGGTAGGGGTTCGACGACCTCAGGATTCGACGATACTATAGTAGGTTGGGGAGAAGACGGCGTCGTCGTAGTAGTGGTGTTTTTAATAATGGTGGGAGCGCTGATGGTTTTGTGGCATTCAACTGGGGAGATGGACAGACGACGTTCCATCTTACTGCGTAAATACCTGCGAAATATACCGCTACCAAGGGTCGAACCTGCGCCTATTCATGCATAGACCAACAGACTAACCACTACGCTATTAAATCCATATGAAGAAAAAGTGTGTTATCACCGGCGATAATATCAAATTTTTTTAACATTCCCATAAACGTCTGTTTGTAATCAAAAAATGCATCAGTGCTGGCACGGGAAAAATCCAAAAAAATCATCATCATTATAAAGGAGAAACAATCATACTTTAGTAATAGACAATTTCTGATAACAAAATACACAATAAAATACCTCTACCAGGGATCGAACTCGCGACCTACCGCTTACCGGCACTTCATCCCAGTATACGCCAAAGTGAATCCCCCCTTGCCGTGGCCAACCTCACAGGGATCTCCTCCACCTCTGAACACCGTCTGCGCTCCCGAAAATATGTATCGCGTCGGGCCCAGAAATCTCTTATTTTCCGATCGGACATTCACCTCAGCGATAAACCCATAATTTAACCCACATAACGCGAGTGTCACCCGCGGGC